GAGTGGTCATCAAACTCCGACCAAACAAAAAGGGATTCGATGTTTGTAAAGTAGTGGAGGGTTTCTTGAGTTACTGGAATCGGGTTGTAATGGAATTTGTCCATTGTGTTTCCAAACTTTTTACATACAAACTCGATGTTTTTAAAGTCGTTTATTGTATTAAAGTATTTCGAGACAATCATCAAGTGGTACCCATCAAGTCTGCTCGTCATTTCAAAGTAATGCATTTTTAAGACTCAATGTCAATAGAGATAGAAATTGTTATTATAATGTGTTATATAACATATCAAAATGGTATTTTTTATAATAAAATAAACGATTTATAATTAAACCATTTGAAAAATATTTTAATAATAAATAAACTAAAAACATAACAGTGATTGAATTGTATTTTATAACAATTAATTATATATATTTAGTTTATTTGTCATTCCCTATAAAGTGAAAAAAGTTCAAAAACAAAAATACAAACCAAAAAGAGAAAAACAAAACCCCTTCCAATTTCTTGTTATTTAAATTATATGTTTTAGTTTAAAAATTCCCTTCAGATTTCTCAAATAACAAAAAGATAAAACATAATCACCAAATTACATGGATATCCAACTTCTTGAGACCTCCACTGAACCAATCACAACACCCGCACAAATCACTGTCCCCGTAGTCACCGCACAACCTTCAAATCCGGTCATTCCATCACCCAATCCCGTTACCACACAACCACCTCAAGAAGTGCCTCAACCAGTTCCACACACCTTCGATACAACAATAAATCAAGAGCCATTCAAAACGGATGAACACAAGTCCGAGAAAAGTTCGAAAGAAGAGAAAGATGACAAACCTAAAGAAGATATTGAAGTGAAAAGTCAGGGATTTAGGAAGAGTCGAAATTATCAAACAGAGCAGCAAGGCGTCTTCATTGCACTGCTCAACATGTTTTATGATGTCACCATTGAACACCCACGAAAGAAGTCGAAGATCACACTCCCCTTTTTCACAGTCATCAAAATCGAGAGCGACGAGGAGGCTATTGACGTCCGCGAGAATGTCGGAGAGAAGATGTCTGAATTGCACCGAAAGGATGTCGAGGGCGGTTGTTCAGAGAAGACGGCTGCTCGACGACAAGAGGTATACAGAGTTGCGGAACAACTGCACATTCTTATGGATTTACTCAGAGATGTTGGCTTCGACTTAGATACAAAGACTACAACGGGAAACAAAAGTAACGTCAAAGAAACAGTCAGACAACTTTCTTACGAGAACTACATCTTCGACGGTGAATTTGTTGAAGGGAGAGGGGCTGATATTAACGAGTTAATCGTGAAGAGACTCGAGGCACTTTCTAAGTCTACTAATTTGGTCATAAAAAAAGGTGACCCTGAAATTGTTGCAATTCTTAAAGGGCTCAATAAAAAGTAATTGTTTAATGAACGGTTTAGTTGTTTAGTAATTTTTTTTACTATTGCATATAGCTCTTTATAACATTTTGGTTCTTTTTTGGGGGGTTTTAATTGAATTTTTTTTTAATTCAATAAAAATTTTAATAGTATAATATTAATTTTAAAAAAGTTAAAATATCACTTTATAAAAACTAAAATTAATTCAAAATATATTAATCCTTTTGTCAATTGTGAAATAATGTTTTTAAAACCCGAAATTATGGTTAATAATTTATATATTATAATTATAGATAATTGTAATATTTTTTAACTTTTTAAACTATATTTTATTAATAAATAATGATTATAAATTAGAAGTTATATTATAGATATTTTTTTTTATTTGTAACTACTAATTATCTATCAACAACCATACACCAAACTAGTTGATAAATCTTTAACTAATCCTTTTCAAAACAAATTTTATTCTATTAATATTTACAAATTATATAAATAAGATTTGTTGTCGAAAATACACATCATAAAAAACAACCCTTTTAGCCAATGAAATGTAGGAAATAAAACAGTAAAAATCAATAAATAAGCCAAACGAATCACTTGTGATGAAGACACCACAATGCTACTACGAACAGAACACAACACGCGTCCGTGTCCACAAGACGATGTACACAAAACTCGAAGAACTACGAAAGCGAATGGGCAATATCACGCTGAACCAATTGATCTCAATTTTAATCCGAGAGTATTCAGAAACACCCGAAGGTCACATCTGTCCAGAAAAGTTTGGTTGTTTGTGTTGTGGTGATGAGCATCAGTGCTCTCCAGACTGCAGATGTGAAGAGACTGGACACTGTTCACAGACATGTCCTTGTTACTTCGACTGCACAAAGTTTTTCCAGACGATATCGCAGTATGCACCGTGTCATTGTTCACAAGGCCATTGTTGTTGTTCACAAGATCAGTGTGTTCCTGGCGTCTGTTCGTGTACTTCCGGCTGTTGGTGTTGGAAGAATGAAATAGAACAGTCGCCCCAACAGCTTCATCAAAGTGAGAGTGTCACAAACAACACTGGGACAGTCGGTATTTACTTTCCACAAGTCTCCAATTCAAACAACTTGCCTCACACCTTTTTCCAACCTCCACAACAAAACACTTCACGTTCACAATATCAGTGTACTCCACTTCCTACGTACCCACAGGAAAACGTTTTTACTGTGTATCACAACGATACTTCTCAACTCGGGTTTCGACTCCTCCAACATGGTTTTTGATTGATTTTGTTTGTTATTTGTAATACAAAGTTATGTTATTGTTCAACGAAAAACAGTGTTATTTATTCGTTCAAATACAATGAAACAAAAACATGAAAAAGAAGTGATTTGTGAATGGAATTTTAATTTTCCTCTTCTTCGTCATCGTCGTATATTATTTCCTCTCCACCGTCCATATCATCAAACATGTCGATCTCCATAGAAGTCCCCAAAACAGTCCCTTTGTTTTTTTCTATTTGTTTTTGATGTTCGATTTTGTCAGTGTCTGGATGCGGGATTTTAATACCTGCGGGTAAGCTTGCCCTTCCTTTTTTAGAGACCATTTTGCACTTCTCAAGATACTCTTTGTTGTGATCTCGGCACATCACCATAGCGTCCGTGTTTGCGGGGGAGTACATGTTTGGATCGCACAACATTGACATGACACTAAGAAGAATCGATGTAACACTCTGTGTTGGGATCCACCTCTCTGACGCTAACTCACCAGACATCTCATCCTCTCCTGGGGGATGTAATATAGATATACAGACTTTACCATCGGGATAGACATTAGGATGCCAGAACTCACTCTTGAAAACAAGCTTAGGGGGATTGTCTGGGAAGTCTTGTGGGAAAGTCATCTCCAAGTTGAAAACACCACCTTCGTATGGGGTTTGTGTTGGGCCTTCCATCCAAATGTCCCAGACAAATACGTTGTCGTCGGACTTGATCTGTACATAGACACCCTCAACTGGATCTTTCAAAACCGATTTGTAATTCATCATGACAAACTTCGCAGCAAGTGACATTTTTTATAATTTTTAGTTCTTTGTTCTACTTGAAAACACCTTCTTTTTTTGGTGTATAAATTGGCATTCACCTTTTCTTTTTTTAACAATCTTTGAGTCTTGATCTTATAACAAAACTTAATTAAATAATAATTATATTTTTACACGTGTAAACATTATTTAATTATTATTGTATATTAACTTAATCATTAACTTACTAAATTATTTTTTTAAAATAAACTATTTATTTCTAATTTATTTATTAATTATAAGTAGTTCAATACAAAATAATAAAAAATGTTTAAAAAAATTAGTCAAAACTATACATTAATGGTTTTTATATTATTTATTAATTATTTTTGTAAATAATTGTTGAATTATATTGTAACCTACATTGATAGTTTTTATAAAACATTTATCATTATTAGTTATATCGACAAAACAATATGATTTTAAAGTTATTTGGAAATAAAAAAATGCCGATATTTTTAGAAAATTCATTCTAAAAAATTTTTTAAATACTAGTATTATATTTATTAAAAAAACAAATAAATAAAAATCTTAGAGATTTAAAATAGAATGTGTTATAAGTATTCGGTAACATATAAAAAATTTGAAAAAGAATGGAAACAAAAACGACTGAATTTAAATAATTACTCTTCGTCAGCGCCAGCGACTTGTGAAGAGACGGAAGCTTCAATACTTTCTTCCTGAGTGTTAGTGTTTGTATTGGTGTTGGTATTGTCAGTATTTTCAGCAGTTTCCTTCTTCTCAGAAGATGAAATACTCTTGTCTTTAGTATTTGTCCCAGTGTTTGTTGAACCGGAGTGGTCCTTCTTTGAGTCTGATTTTGAGGCGTCGTTCAACTTCTTCTGAATTGTGTCAAGTGCGGTCCCAATTTCCTTGAATGTTGGTCTTTCCGTTGGTTTGTTCCTCCAGCTTTGTTGAATGATATTCTTGAAAAGACAATCGTCTGCAATTTCAAGTCTTTTAGACGCACCGACAAATCTGAGAATAGACTCCGAATCGGGGAATTTGGCTGGATCGTATGGGTCTCTTCCCAACCAGATTTCCAACATACAAATAGCGAATGAGTAGACATCACTCTTCAATGTCATCTGATCCTTCTTGTTAATTTCAGGCGCCATGTAGACTGGCGTACCAATGTTCTGCAATTCGATCTTCCCAGACGATTCAATGAATGATCTTGAGGTACCAAAATCAGTGACTTTAGCGGTGATTGGGTCGTGTGGATTCTTCGAGTAGACCAACACATTGTCTGTCTTCAAATCTCGATGCAAAATGTCGTTGTGGTGCAAGTACTCCATACCCTTTGCAATATCTTGACAGAATCGGACTTTGAGTAAATCAGTCATCGCGTTGACCTTCATGAATTTTCTTAAAGAAGCAAGTGGACAGAATTCAGTGACTAAACACAACGTATCAGTCGTCACGACACTTCCAATGAAATTGACGATGTATGGACATCTAATACGCTCCATCATCTCAGCTTCTTGCATAAAGTTTGGTAACAACTCAGCCAAACCAACCAAATCAGTCTTCATGACCTTGACGGCAACATCGACTCGTCTCCACTCCGCTCTGTAGACGATACCAAATGTTCCACCTCCAATAGGGGGGTGTTGCAAGTGAATTTCTTCATAATCAAGTTTAGTGGACAACGCAGACTCGACTTGTAAGTTCAAGTAGACATGGAATTTGGACACTTTGGACTTCCCTTTCTTCTTCTTCTTTGAGTCGTCAGAATTGGACTTTCCTGATCCACTCGGTGTACTCTTCGATGGATTTGATGGATTTGAAGGGTTCGATGGATTACTTGGATGTGATGGGTGACTGTTCTTGTTAGATCCAGCTCCCGAAGATTTGGATTTGTTATCACTCTCGGAATTTTGTGAGGACTGTGAAGCGTGTGCGATCAAATTTGGATTCTCCTTCTTGATGTCTTTCATGATGTTTTGGAGCTGTCCATATCTCAAAGTAATTGGGACCTTCTCGTTCAAAATAGTAGTGCACTTTGCCATGAAAGTAATTGATAACTTGACTTGTTCTTTTGGCTTGATAGTCCCAGTGAATGGTTTACACATGATTTCGTACTTCACAAAGTCACCAGAGTGGAACGTAAAGTGCATGTTCTCCTTCCAGTTGTTTGTGAGTGTTATATCCGTTGTGACTGGCTCATTAATTTCAGGTCTTGTATCCCCAAAGTCGATGTTATTCGACGAGAAAGTGAAGTATGGGTTTTCTTGTCTCAAGTCGATATACTGCGAGTTGGTCTTATCGAATGGAATGATGGTGTTTTCAAAGATAACCAACTTCTCATCATCCAACTCCTTCTTGATCTTTTGAGTAATTCTGACATACAAAATGACAATCAAGAACAACAAGAAGAGGTACAACAAAAGATATGCTATACATCCGATACCCCAGAATAAGAAGTTTCTCAAAGCAGAAGACATTCTTGAGCAGTCCGCTTGATTTTGGCTGAACCAATCTGGCTGACATTCACACTCTACACACCCGTCTCCACCATCACATTCTTCTCCTTTCTCCCACTTCTTATTGCCGCATGTTGAAACCATACAGTCAAATCTCGCTTTAGCATATTTCTTGGTGCCATTGACACAGACCTATTCGATGAGTTTTGTATTCATTTATAATTCATTTGTGCTTCACTACGACATTAAAAAATAATAAAAAACAAACACAGTGATCACATCCAAACCCACCATCACATTGTTCGTATTCATCAATTTGTTTGTTGTCACATGTTGGCACTGCACATTTTGTGACTCCTCCAATACTTTTTGGTTCATGTCCAAATTTGCAGTTACACGTGGAGTCACACTTCGGATCAATATAGCCAGCTACTGACAAATCACAGTCTTCGTTCTCATCTAATACACCATTCCCACATTTTGTGCAGACACTGTCCTTAAGAACGAATCCCTCAAGACATTCACACTGTCCTGAAAAAGCCGAGCAAATACCATTCTCACCACAGCTCTGTGGACATGTCGTTTTGATATCCAATCTTATAGTAGCTGAATACTCTTCGTTGATCCCAACAAACAAAAAATATACAGAGTCGTGTTCCAAAGTTGCTACCATTCTAGCCAGTCTAGACGATGAATTGCATCCGTCCGTTCTTGTTCTGACACACTGAGCCTTTGATGCATCATCACAGTCAATAGAAGTGAAGTTGGTTGTTGACGAGTTCAAGTTATAACCATCATTTTTTACTCTCAGTAAGTCCAGATTGATGTCGTACTCGGACGCGGAGTTGCATGTTGAAATTTCTAAAGTCTCATCGGCGCCTGGGATCTTGAACCAGAATCCTTTCACGAGGTCAATAGAGCACACAGACGTAGAGAGAATTGAGTATTGCAAATTCAAAGATGTTGTAAAAGACGAACTCGCCATTTCGTTCCATTCAACATCGTTATAACTCGAGGAACATGCATGAACGATGGTGTTAATATAAATCTTAAATTCTCCAATTTGTTCAGCAGCATACTTCGAGTGGACAAAGATGTATTGGACTGCACCTTCATTCATAGAAGTGATGATTCTTGGCGACTGGATGTACTTTGAAAACCCTCCGTTTCTGTAAACACAATACACAGACTGACTAATATCAGTAGAATCAGGGCACTCCTCTTGTACAACCATTCCTCTTGAGTTCCCCACCTTCTTTTGTTGAGTTGATGCTAATATCAGTTCTTCTCTTGAATACTTCTTATCTAATTCAATAGATACGTATTGCTTCTTGTCTGATGTGATCTTAATCCAAACACCATAAGTGTATGGTTTAGTTGGTTCGACTAATCTGGAACATCGGGTGACTTGTAATATATCTCTAATACCTATTGGGAGTTCTGGAATGATCACCTCACCGTTGTCTCCAAAATCAGTGTTTGCCAGATCGATTTCAAATCTATCTTTCATAGTAGAGTTCAAAACACTATCTGAAAGGTTTTTGACCGTCTTAAAGAACCCACCACAAGACATTTTATCTTTAGGAATTTTTAGGCACACCCCTTCGCCAAACCACATATGATCATCTGTACACCCTTGGCAATCAGCCGCATATCCCTTGGTTGTGTTACAGATCTCACAAGTGTCTGGTTTCAAGCATCCGCCAATACACCCTTCTTGATATATGCAGCTCATCTCGCAAATACCCGTTTCAATGTTTGGACTATACCCGATGTCACAAAGACATGAGGACGTACAACCCTCAGTCCCATCGCACTG